GGGCAGNGAAAGCGTATGCGTCGTCCCTGCCAGGGTGGGTGGGTGTGTGCGGTTGCCTCGTCCTACCACTGTCCAGCAGCGCAGGCAAGGGCAGCCGTGAGCAGCAGCGACAGCAGCAGCAGTGGGGCACGCGCCCGCACCGTCACGATTTCACTGCTGTCTGTGTTGCTTTTTGTGTGTTTCGCAGCACTCGGACTGCTGGTGGTCGTCGTTGTGCTTCCTTCGCTGCCGCCGGTGGGAGGGGTGGCGGAGTTGGGCGTGCCGGAAGGGCGTTGAGGGGTTGGGGAAGTGCCCGTCTCTCCGGATCCACGTGTCCCGCTCTCCGCCGTGCCTGCTGGCGGGGCCGCAGGTGGTCCTGGTGGTTGCCCTCCCGCGTCGGTTCCCTTTTCTCCCCGCGACGCACCCTTTCCGGCTGGCTCCCTCGCGGGGATTGTTAACGGGCAAACGCCTGGCTTGCCAAGTGCGCCACCGTCTGCGGCAGGAAGAGACGGACTGCCGGAGGTTGTTTTTGCCTCCTCCCACTTCTTGTGCACTCCGCTGCCGACACGCGTCGGGAAGTTCATCGTGAACGCGGTCCGATCACTTTTGTCACTGCCGCAGCTCGCCTTGCAGTTCGTAGTCGCGTACAGCGATTCGGCGGAGAGGCAGAGGGACTCACTGACACCGCCGTCGCCTGCTCCGTACTGAGACACGCCCACCGAAACGATGTCGACGGTAACAACATCCTCCACCTCCTTGACAGAGTCCTCCCCAACAATTGTGTAGTCAAGACCTCCCACCGCCGCCGCACACTTCTTCACGCAGTTTCTCTAGGGAAGCGCCAACTTAACTTGTTGCCACTGTCCGCGCAGGACACCTCCACCGACACATTCACCGGCTGCCATTCTTTTCGCAGAACCGCAGGCGGAGATGTATGCTTTGCAGTCGTAGCAGCAGCAGGAGTCCCCGTCGCCCCGCAGACGGAGGGGGCGCAGCAGCAGCCGCAGAGCAGCGCGAGGAGCGCCAACGCGCACACCGCACGGCGCCGCACCTTCAGCGTCGTCATCGCCATCAGTAAAAACAGTGGTGGCGGTTGGAGCGGTAGAGTCGCAGCAGAGTCAGTGGGCTGCGAGGCAGCGAAGAAGAAGAGAGAAGAGCAATGGGGAAAGAGCAGACTGCCGACGGGATGAAGAAGAAGGCGCCAGGCCGCCGAGGGGCTGTGGGGCGCGGCACAGGCGCAGGGCAGCAGGGAGCCAGAAGCAACGCAGCAAACAGAAAAAGGAACAAAAGAAAATGAGGTACCCAAAACGCAAGAAAAAAAAATTCAACAGGCTTTTTCTTCTCCGGCTGCGTGGGTATTGCTTGCTGTCTGCACGAGTAAAAACCAGGAGAGAAACAGCCGCCCGGTCGCACAGCCACGAGGCCGGCACCGCGTTTCGGTGTGTGTGTGCGTGTGTGTCTGGGCGGTGACAGCGGCAAACTGGAAAGGAAGCTCGTTACTCGCGACAGTGCGCATAGCAAGCGATCATTGGGGCCGAAACGCAAACAAGAAAAAAAGAGGACATTTGTGCCGAGTATCCCAGTAAACGACCAGAAGAAAGCAAAATCCAAGGCAAACATAAAAAAAAAGGATATGTGGAGAGATAGCACAAATATATTTAAGAGAGAGCTGTCGGGGGTGCAGCAAGGGCCCTCTCCCCAAGAGGAGTAACAAGTCCACACGCTGCAGCTCAGAAAACCGCTGCGGCGCCACAAAGCCCCAACAGAGCCAGCAGCATTCCCCGAGACCCACACCCGCGCACAGTACCGTCGCGTTTTTTCCCACTCGGCCTCGAGCCCGTAGTGTGCTTGAAGGCAGCGGGGCTGCTGCCCGGGCCCGATGCGGCACCGGGAGCAGCCGCATGCGGAAGTGTGACTTTGCTCGCACTGAGCTTCAGCACCTCATCTTTGTAAAGTACGCGGTTGTACAGCAGGACGCTGGTCACCGTCACGTGGGGGATGCTCGCCGCGCCCGCCGCCGCACTGTCGCCGCCAACGTAGAAGTGCGAGATCCGGTGTGACTCGAAGATTTTTGTCACTTCCGCCGGAGGTTCTTCTCTGCTTGCGTACACCTGCACCCCATCCACGTACACAAACCACTCATCCCCGTCCATTTCCAGCACCACTTGATACGTCTTGCTGGGCTCCCAAGCGCCCGAAGACTCTTGCGCATCAGTACCATGAAGCTCGAACCTCCACTTTCTCTCCTTCGTGTACGAGAGGCCGAAAAGCACAGTGTTGGCTGTGTCATTCATCCTCGCCCCCAGCAGAGGAAGAGGGCCGCTAGCTGTGGGCACCGCGTGGATGATCACCGTCGCCACGAGAGCGAACTTGTTGTTCGCAAAGTAGTACGGCTGCACCTGCCCCAGTTTCCCCACGGGCCACTCCGCCCCCGCCCCGGCGCCGCTGAACGTCACGCCGCTGGCAATACCCGCCGTGCTCGCCACTGCCCCAGCTGTCACTGTGGCGTCGACGCAGCGGTACTCGTCCTTCCATGCAGTCTGCTCCAACGTGTTGGACAAAAGTCCCACCAGCCCTTTGATGGGAACAGAGTTTTTGCACACTCCCTTTAGTGCGTACCCGGCATCACTGCCAGTGGAGGTGCACCCCTGCAACGCCTTGTCCAATGCGGTCCACTTTTTCACCACTTCCTGATCTCCTGCAGCTTCGCAGTCAGTGGCACAGAAACGAGGCTGTACGACTCTCCAGCTTCAGCCTTCTTCTCGTACAGTGCAATCAACTCCTCCTTCGCGCCGCTTCTGTACAGCAGGGAGCTGGCGGCGGCGTTGTGGCTTGCATCAGATACCGCCCCAACGTCATATACGCGTTGCATGTCCGTCGCCCAAAGATGCAGCCGAGCCTTTGCGGCGTCGCCTTCCGCCGAATACACCGGCGTGGTGAGGAGCATCACCTTCTTGTCCCCGAATGTTGCGGTGGTGAAGCCGCTCTGCACGCCGTGCCCTCCTTGGCGCTTCAGTGAGGTGCCCCACACGCGGGAAATCGGCTCGCCTGTAGGATACCACTGCCTCCCAGAGGATTCGTACACGTCGTAGTAGCCGCCCGCACAGTGAGCCATCGCGAGAAGGTTTCTGTCGTCCCCCCACTCCACGATGGACGGGTCTCTGCAGCCCTCACCGGTCGTATCGTACGAAAGCGCCCATTTACTCCCTGACGGTGTCAGGCTCATGGCCAGCAGAACACTATTTCCATCCGCTTTGATGGCCTGCATGGGGAACACAAGCGTGCCGTCACTCAGCACAACACCCGAGCCCCCGCCGCCAACCAGCCGCGTCAAGGATTCAAGGCTTTTTACGGATTCAGGCTCCAACGCATGGGGCTTACCCCACACAATTTTCTTTTCGTCAACCCCGTCAGTAAGAGCTCCCTTCACCAGGAAAAGCTTCCAGCCAGCCTTGCCGGAAGGCTCACTCGTAGGCGTCGCACGTCCGTAGTTTCCCAGCAGCATGTAGACATCGGTGCCGTGCATAACTGTTGTTGGCCGCATGATCTCCGTTGCCCTCTCGCCGCCCGTGTCGGAGGCGCCTTCACGCCGTGTGT